GTCACAACACGCAGAACCATGTCTCATTTCTGTACCACCCAGGCGAATGGAAGTGTCTAAATAAAGACTGAAATTATGTCAAGCAACATGTCGAATCTTGATGTTTATCTCACATGAGCATCTCTCCACTTCAAGACCTTCATGGAAGGGATTTGAATAATAAATTTCACTTGTCCAGAAGAAACAGATTTAATAAAGTGGGACATTTATTCTGGAGAGTTTGAATAATGAAAGCTTTGGGATATATGATCTAAATTTTTAAATTGAGATGTAATGTGATTTTTTTTTTACCCATCAGTAGGTATTACACTTTCTCTTTCATGAGAGGTGCATGGCTAAGCCATTAACATCAGTGAACTCCTTCTAAAGGATGGTCTTCACTCCTGCCTGTCATTTAAATCACAAGAAAAGTGCAACCTGGAGAAATCACTACCATATACTAGTGGAGAGCTGATGGACTTTCATTCTAAGTTTTAGAAATTATGCATTCATGCCAATAGATGTTTATAGCATGATTATCTGAACACCAAGATATCAATAAACAGAAGCCCTGCCAGAACGATGGAATAAGAACCTCTGGAAATGTTCTCCTTCATAAAGATAATGAGAACACTGGCAAAAAAAAAATAGCTCTAACATTTTCAGGACTCTGGAAATTAACCGAGGATTTGTAACAACCCAGGGAGCATTTACTTAAGGAAAACAACACAATCTTGATAAGGACAATGGGCCGTGTGGCATTTTAACTTGCCCATTCTTAGTTCCTTCTTGGCAGCTCTGTGGTAGTTTGAAAATCAGCAGCCCTGCAAACCCAGTATCTGTGAAAACCAATAGCCTGGCAGTCACTGGAAAAGTCAAAATGAGTTTTGTTGAAAAACACACACACACACACACACACACACACATACACCATCTGGAAAGTAGTTAGGATGGTAAAAACATAGTTTACTGAGAAAAACAATTACAATAGGGGGAAACAGACCTCAGTGTAGAAACACTGGTTCAATCCTGAATACAGTAAGGAAAAGTGAGAATATATAACCAAAGACTCAAATAGAGTGAGGCTCAATTGAGGGACAATGACTTAGAGGAAGCATCAGAGGTAAGGAGGGATTCTGATAAAATTGGCCTAACAGTATTCTTATCAAAGGTAGGCCAGGGAGATCAGACAGCCCCTGGGAAGATGGTGGAGGGTAAGGATCCTGATTAGACATCAAGAGTTATTAGATAGTGACTGATTGGTGTGACTCAGTGGTTGAGTGTTGACCTATGAAGGGAGGTTATGGTTTAATTCCAGGTCAGGGCACATGCCTGGGTTGTGGCCTCAATCCCCAGTGGAGGGCATGCAAGAGGCAGCTAGTCAATGATTCTCATCATTGATGCTTATTTCTCTCTTTTCCTCTCCCTTCCTCTCTGAAATCAATAAAAATATATAATTAAAAAAAGTTATCAGATAGCAAGGATGGAGTATTATGGTTAAACTTAGCAGGATTTTTGCTAAAAGTGAACAATGCAGAAACATACATGGAGGCTGAAAAGTTAGGGCCTATTTGAGAAAAGAATTTGGGAGCTAGAGTGGCATTTGGTCAAGGAGAGAGTCTTTGTCACTTTAGAACTTCTCAAAAAGCCTTCATGCCCAAGGAATAGTCATTATCTAACCTGACTGGCAGCTCCTGGAAGCCCCATTCACAGTGTGTGACCTCATATCACCTCATTCAGAGGTCACTCAGACCTAACCTTAACCCTCCCCCTCCCCCAGCCTTAACTTAATCCTATCTCTAACACTAACACTAACACTAACACTAACACTAACACTAACACTAACACTAACACTAACACTAACACTAACACTAACCACTGTTTGGTCCTTTGTTTCACTTAGGGGCAACTCTGAAGGGACAGTCTAGCTCTCTCTATAGGATTGGCTGATGCCTCTTTTGGACATGCCATTCATTTGAACCTCTTCTTCCCAACACTGTCCCCTCACTCATTCACAGATATTCCTTGCTGAGAGCTCCCCAACCCCATCAAAATTTCTGCACACAAATGATCATTTCAGAGTCTGTTTTCAAGGGTCCAAACTTAAAATAGTAGTACTAATACCAGAGAGAGAAGGGATGTTTGAAGCAATAACATCATTAAGAAGGCAAAAAGGAAATGCATAGTATTGACTGAAAAGGGGGAAATTTTCTCCATTTTGATAAGCAGGAAGGAGGGGAAGAGACCAGGTGGGGGAACTTTGACAGAGAGTCACAGTAAAATTGTGACACATGAAAGAATTATTCCCCTAAGAAAATTAAAGTGTTAGGTAAGCAAAAAATGGAAATACGTGTTGGCCAAGCAAGACAAATACTTGTCCCCTACAAGTGGAATTTGGGAGCACAAAAATAAATCAGAAAGATCTGGAAACCAGAGAGCCAGATAGCTATGGAAAAAAACAGAAGATTCTCTCCCTGTCTTCCCACTGAATATCTTTACTCTGAGACCCTCAGGAAGATTTGGTCATTTGTTACTCACCAGCTGCCAGCCCTACTTCCTCCTATCTTTGCAATCAATAAGCAATTTAAGTATCAGCCCTCCGCTCTCTGCTCTCAGCTAAGCTGAAGCTTACCTACAAAGCCTGATTTGTGTTGTTGTACACATCACTACATTGCACAACTAAAACTAATACAATTTTATATGCCAATTATATCTTAATTAAAAAAACACTTTATTCTATAAAAAAGTTAATTAATTTTTGGAATATAAACTAATGTTTTTAAATAAATTTTTCATATGCATTAACTCATTAAAAAATCATGTTCCATTTATTGGTGATGTCACCTTTTTAAAAAATACATTTTTATATAAAATAATGTTTGTGTCTCAGGAATAAAGAGAGGTCTAAATTGGGTTTGAAGGCCAAAGTAAATAGGAGATATTCAAAGTTATTCAAGAAATAACCCGTGAATCAAAATGAACATCAGTTTAATTTGTTTCATAAAAAATATTAAACATTTCAAATAAAAAATACAACTAAAAAAGTCTGCAGGTTGTGCTTTAATTTCACATTTCAGACATTGCACAATATTTACAAGACACTCATTTTGATTGTGAGATATAAAAGTTTTTACTCCCAATATGAAATCTGTTTAACTTCTCATGTTAAACAATAGGAATGACATACATGCAAGATAGCTTTGTTACCAAGTTAATGATCCCTTGAAATTTTATGTGGCTATATGATGATTGCTAAATGTGTTAAAACACACACACACACAGACAAATTAGAACAAATTGGTTATCCTGTGAGCTTTTTTTCTTTCTTTCCTTTTTTTTTTCTGGTATATTGCATTGAAGAGAACTTATCTATAGACATCTATAGACATCAGTAAGAATAATTGTCCTTAAGAAACGATATAAATATAAGCTAAATAAAACTAGTAAAAAATGCTATGTAAAACATCTTATTATGTAAAAATCATTACAGTCTTAAGCCATACTTAGACACTAGTAGCTGGGACCACCGCACTGCAGAAACTAAAATGAGGGTACAGTTTCCTTCACCCAAAATCCCAATGTTCATAGGAGCAAACAGTGACATAAGCAAAATATTCACTGTATGAGAAAGAAAGCACAGGCCTGTAGAGTCATTATTCAGTGAACTTATGTCCCTAAATGAAAAAGGGCAGCCACAGGCATCTGGCCCCTGAAGCTCCCTGGCACTCACATGGGGGGATGTACCTTTCTTTAAGAGGATGGCCATCTTGTGGAAGTGAACTCCTTAAATAACTGCCCGCAGTTATGGCATGGTTCAGTCCTTTATAAAGACTCTTCACAGAATCTGAGGTTGAATGCACAGAGATGCATATGAGGGACAATGCCTGATGAATCAATCCAGGAAGGAGAATTCTTCACGGGTGTAACATCTGTTTCAATAACGGACGTTGTCCCCACTCATTCCACCTTATTTGTTTATGAAATGACAGGAGAAATTCTCTAGATAAAGTGCTTTCCCCATTGCTAGATTTAAATCTAAGACATAATACTTATCCCTTAGAAACAAATGTTTTTAGGTTAAATACATTGGATTTGTGGCCGTCTGTTGTTTTTCTAAAAACATAATTACGACAGTGAAGAAAATTAATTATCATGTGGGTAAATCCAGGAATTCTGCCTCCATGATGTGTGGAAAACGATTCTGAGGAAAAGCACCAAAGTAAAGTCAAAATGGAAGTGTCCTGTCACACCCACAGAGTTCAGCTGCTTTGGCTTGAGGCCTATCCTTTGCATGAGTGGAATCAGGGAACTTTGGGATCCTCTATGTTCCTTCATTTTGTGTCCATATAATTCATGAGAAATCCAAGACTGTGAAATCATTCACTTGTCATTCCAAAGAAAGCAAAATTAAAAATTCCTTAGGCCAGAATACTTTTTAAGTGACACTGATTTCTTATACCCTATCAGTATTTCCCGAAGTGTGGTACGCATACCCCCAGGGGTACAGGGAGAGTTTGGTGGGGGTACGCGTTGCACCGGAGTTTGGTGGGGATTTGCACTGCACCGTGCTTAGCTGCGCCTAATTCTACATCTTCATGAATACGAGGGGTACTCGGCGTTACGAAAATTATAGAAGGGGTACACATATGTCAAAAGTTTGGGAAACACTGCTCAGACAGCGAACGGGGATTGTAAACCATACCTATCTTTTTATTTTTTATTTTAATCTAAAATACATATACTGCATTACTGATAGTTCTTAGATTAGAACCACCACCTTTAAAAACCCTCACGTGGAGCACAAAATACACAAATATATAACGATTTGTGAGAACAGTACTTATTTTGAGACAAGGAAAAAGGGGATCAAAGAAAATGCACATCGTCGTGTCCAGCTTTCCAGTTTGGGAACCCCTTGGTCGTTTGGACCATTGTCCTCCAAATCCTGTTTATAGTCTATCTATGCTTTCCTTTCAAGAAAGGACCAGGAAGGAAAGAGCCAAGTTCACCGGAGCACCTCCTCAGAAATCTGGGAACGCCTTGATGATGGACTCGTAGGTGGGCGGGGGTGGCGGGGCCAGGCCCACGGGGAGGCTGCTGCTGGACCAGTGGAAGTCGGGGCGCCTCAGGCTCTGCGCGGTGAGGAGGGCCGGGGAGGTCGGGGATGCGGGGAGAGTCATCACCTGGCTGTCCGTGTCCACGGGGAGGGGTGGGCTCTGCAGAAACGGGTGGAATGTGGACGCCCTGAAGCTGGATTTCCTCGGGAAGGAGTTGCCCAGCTCCAGGGAGGCCTGCCGCTGGAAGGTGAGGCTGGCCAGGCTGAGGTTGCTGCGGCGCTCATAGCCGCTGTGGCGGTAGAACCCGGGCCTGGCGAGGCCGTGGGAGTAGGAAGACCTGGATCGCCTGCTTGAATTCCAGTGGGAGATGCGGGCACTCGCTCTTCTTCGGGACAGACAGACCCACAGCGCCCAAATCAGTCCTCCGAGGACCAGCCCGATGGCCATGGACACTGTGAAGGAGATGATGAGTTCCTCTGAAACGAAGAAACACAAAAAACCAAACAGGTAATTTGATTTGTAAGTAGGGACTCAGCTGAAGACACAGGGCAGGATGCACATAGGAACTATGGGATGGTTTATGCAGGGTCCCTCCTCCCAAAAATGTATATACACTCTAAATAATTATTCATTCCACTGGGTTAACTCTGAAAAGAAGGAAACCTTAGAATCAATTGTTCAAAGTGTGTATACACTTTTTGGGACCCCCTGTAGGATGATACCCATTTCCAGTTAGAGAAATAGAAAATTGTACTAGATGGACATGAACAAGTAAAAGCTGTTGTTTCCATTTAAACAAAAGGACATACTAGTAAAAGAACATTTTATCGGTACCATTTCATGTTACTTACATTATTTTTAAAAAATATTTTTATTGATTTCAGAGAGGAAAGGAGAGGAAAAGAGAGATAGAAACATCAATGATGAGAGAGAATCATTGGTTGGCTGCCTCCTTCATGCCCCCTACAGGGGATCGAGCCCACAACCTAGGCATGTGCCCTTGACCAAAATCAAACCCAGGATTTCTCAGTCCATAGCCTGACATTCTATCCACTGAGCTAAACTGGCCAGGGCTATTTTATCATCTTTAAGAAAGAAGTAATAAATATAATCTCGTGGGTTTTTTTGTTTTGTTTTGTTTTGTTTTTAAGGACATTATTTAGCTCATAAAATTTTATAGGGTTGCAAATCTAGTTGAAAGATTATTGCCATTTGAGTTCCAGTAATAAGTAATGCGCCGAGTTCACAAGGAATTTGGTAATCATATTGATTTTGCCTTTTCCTCTGTTCTTATCAAACCCATCAAAGTTTCCCATCAAATCCTGCCTGCAGGGTTCATGATGTCTCACTTTCTGAGCTCATTCTGAGAGAGGAATTCCTGGGCTAGAGCCATCTGGTGGGTTGACTGCTTTATGTTATATCCTCTGAAATTCTGGACTGTCACTTATATCTACGACTCATTGATGACATGACCTATACAGACTACTCGGCTCGTTCTCAGTCCGAAAGTACTGGTTCATGCTGCCCTCATGTCCTTTGTTTTGATAATAAAATTCCTGTCCCTGGATTTCCATAGAATGTCCACTATACACTAGTATCCTTCAATTCACAGAACTTGTATTTGTTCAGATTTCCTGTTGTGGTGGGAAATGGGGGAGGGCAGAAAACCTTACCAAAAGGGAAATTCTACCTTACTGCTTTGTGGGAAGCATTCATATCCTTGAATGAAACTGGGTAACAGAGCCTCTGGTTTGAATGGAAAGACACCCTGTTTATCAGAAAACCCCTCCAGCTTTACCACCCACCTCATTTCTCCACTCTCTGCCCCATGATCTAACCCATGAGCCATGTTGATTTTCTCACTAACCCAAAGCATGTCATTCTCTCTTAAATTCTGTGATTTCCCACATATTTTTAAAATATATTTTTATTGATTTTTTACAGAGAGGAAGGGAGAGAGATAGAGAGCTAGAAACATCGATGAGAGAGAAAACACTGACCAGCTGCCTCTTGCACACCCCCTACCGGGGATGTGCCCGCAACCAATGTACATGCCCCTGACCGGAATCGAACCTGGGACCTTTCAGTCCGCAGACCAATGCTCTATCACTGAGCCAAACCGGTTTCGGCAGATTTCCCACATATTTTTTTCTTTATATCTAGATACAATTTTTACATTTCAGTCTGGAAAACTCATTTTTCAAGCTCCATTTCATGTATAACCTTTTGGATAGAGACACCTACTATTCATTAAACAATTAGATACTCTTAAGTAGAGGAGTAAGCTATCTTATCCAATTGCTTATCCGGAAATTAACTAAATGGGGTTGTGAAATTGGGAAAACAAAAGAAGTTCCTTTCAGGAGGAGGTAGAATTTGATTTCCCACCCCCTGAATCTGGTCTGCCTTCATGACTTGCTAGGGCGGATAGGACTCAATGGAAGGAAAGCTGTGCTAGCACAAGTCTAAGTCTCAAGAGGGCTTTCAGCTTCCACCCCTTCTGCTCTTGGGAACCCTGCACTTGCCAGCCAATGAACTCATCCAGGCTAGCCTCTTGGTTGTTGAGAGCTACATGGCCCAGTTATCCTGTGGCCCTGGCCAAGAGCCTGTCAAACTACAAATATGTAAGAGGGATTATTTAGGTAATTCAGATTCTAGTCAATCCAACAGCTGAGTGTGATACATGGGAGAAGGCCAGCAGGAGATGCATTAAGCTGAGCTGCATCCACATTGCCAACCCCAGAATTATGAGCCATGTCAATGATCATTTAGGCCACTGTGTTTTGGGTTGGATTGTTACACAGCAAAAGCTAACTGATGCAAATTCAGCTTCATCCATAACATGTTTGTGATTTTTAAGAAATTTGTTTGACTCATTTGTTTTATTATTTTTAATGGAGTTAGACTTTATATGATTGCCAAGGTTTTTTTTTTTTGTTTGTTTTTGTTTTGTGTGTGTGTGTGTGTGTGTGTGTTTACCAGTTTGTTGTTGTATTCTATGAAAATCAGTAATTCAGAAATCACAAAATAAGCTAATGTTAATGAATATATAAGAATGATTATTGCTCCTTAATTTTAAGATATTATTTCATGTCTTTCCACCTTTCATTATTACATTTATCTCCTGAGGAAAGGTTATATTTGTTATCTCTTACTTTCCCAATTATCTTTAGAAATATAAAAATCCTCTAAGACAGTTGTTTATATTAAGTCTAAACAATATTTTTTTTATAATAGAAAGATGACTTCTGAATTACAAGATGATTCAGGAAATATCTCTTAGACCCAGTATTGTTCTTCCAAAATGCGTCTCACAAAAATAATACTGAGTCATAACCCGAAAATGCAGTCTCTTGAGATGAGGATTTTATTCCATTAGACTCTATCTGGAAAAAGCAAATAAGTAACGTTAGAACCTAACGTAAGCCTTGCTAGTAATATAGTAAATTTCCAAATTAGTCTTGATTGGGGCCCCACATTTTTGGAGCCCAGAAAAGAAGTTATAGGAATTCAGTTTCCAAGACAATGGCAGCAATGTAAATAAGAATTCGCCAACATTTCTTCCAAAAGTAAAAACGAACACAAAACACTAGAGAACAACAAAACGAACAAATAAAACTATACAAAACCCATGCCTTCAGCATAATTAGAAGACAGTGACATCCAAGCTCAAGCTGCCTAGAAAATGAACTAAGAAAAACAACAGAGATGCCAATCAATTATCTTCCATGCTTCCAGCGAAAGCCTTCATGGAGAAGAAAGGCAATTTTGTAAAAACTATAAATAATGAAAAGGTGTTCTGGTCCCTGAACACAGTGCTTTAGGAAAGAAGCTTCTGGTGCATACAGGGAGTGAGGAGGCACATTTCTTTGGAAAGATCACCTCTCATATGATTGCATTTATAAGAAATGTCCAGAAAGGACAAAACTATGGAGATAAAAAGCACACAGCGATTGCTTAGGGCGGGTGGGAGAAAATGGGAGTGGCTGATATGGGAACAGGGTTTCTTTGTGAAGGACAAAATGTTCTCAGATTAGATTGTGGTGATGGTCACACAACTTTGTGGCTATAATAAAAAACCATTTATTATAAATTCTCTGGGTAAATTCTGTCCCAATGAAGCTTCTTAAAAACAACAAAGGAAGAGAAAAAGAGTAACTATACAGAGAAGGAGAAAAAAAAAAGAGTAAGGGAAAATTCGGGATCCTTTGAGACAAAAGAAAATTAAAAACTATTAAAGGACATACAATTCCTCTCCCACCTTCAACATATAGAAATAAAAGTCAACCAGTAAAAACATCATACTTTGCTATATGGGGGGAAAGAGGATTCTAGGATGACTCCCTGGATCCTGGCGTGGAAAGACAAGGATGGACACCAGATTTGAAAGTCTGTTATGAACAAAATTACTTGGGAAAATTATGGTAAACAAAATTATGTTTTCTATTGATATATTTCTCTGAGTCAACAGCCTCCATTAGAGAACTTTAAATATCAACAACTTCAAATATGGAAACAGAGATATTGGGTTTTAGCAAAAACAAACTCTTAAAAATGTCTTGGACTCAAATTTCTCATTTTATTGATATTGAAAGATTGTAAGATTTATATAGTAGAACTAACATAATTTTTTTAAATCCTCACTAAGGATATGTTTATTGATTTTTAGAGAGAGAGGACAGGAGAAAGAAACATTGATGTGAGACAGAAACGTGGGCCATTTGCTTTTCCTAAGTGCCCCAACTAGGGATCAAACTAGCAACCTAGGTGTGTCCCCTGACAGGAATCAAACCCAAAACTTTTTCATATATTGGGCAGCATTCCAGTCAACTGAATCACCCAGCAAGGGTGGAACTAACATGATTTATTTTAATAATTGAATATTGACACCAGCACTGGTCAGGAGACTATGACTTTCACTCGTGTATAACATAAAATGAGGAAACAAATAGTCAAGTTCACTAAGTACATGCCCTGGCTTTTATATGTAAACTTATATAACCACTAGGGTTGGAATGAGGGTCCTACATATATCAGGATATAAGCAGGTATATTAGATGAGGACAAACACATATATTTACTTTATTACAACTAAGTGGAGATAAAACCAAGGTCTTAAAACAGAGTCAGTTACCCAGTAAAAGCATTTGTAAGATTTACAGGAGTTTCCATACAGGTGTATCTACCCTTCCAACCTCTGGACTATAGTCTCTTCTGGCAAATAAAGTGTTCCTAATCGTTTATCTGTAGTGAGAAATAGCATCAGTTTCAATGTCAAGAAAAAAAAAATAGGAACTTTCAAAATATATAATCAAGATGAAATAATTTCTTTTCCTTAAAGTGATTGAGAAAATTAGCAAAGGAAACCAAAATACATGGAGTGAGAAACATAGTTATATGCCAGGTGACTTTCTTTCAAAAATCTATTATTGTTCTAATATAAGAAAACAAGGGTTGTAGAGACTGGTTTGACTCA